TGATTAAGGCATCAACCTACAGGGCCCCCAGGAAGAGCTTGTTCCATTCTTTCTCCTCTCTGCAGTGAGAGGCCAGGGATATGGGGTCCTCCTGTCACCCCCACGTCCAGGGACCTGTCCCTCGGCCCAAGAAGGCATCCTCAATTTACTTGCCTTTCTCTACAGTCCTGCTCCAGGCCTCCTGCTGTCCCCCCTCCTGCCCCAACAGGCCCTGCTCCCCATGACAGCCACAGGGCTTCTGAAAATCATAAATCAGAACATAGCTCTTCCCTGCTTATATACCCTCTGTGGTTCCCCATTACCCTCAAAGTAAAAGCCAAATCTCTGCCTTGGTCTGACCCCACCCACCACTTCAGGACCACCTCCATCACACCCACACTGGCCTCCTCGCCAGTCCCTGACGGCCCCAAGCTTGCACCCTACTCCGTTCCCTCTGCCTCAGACACTGTCCCCCAGCTTCCCCCGAGGCTGGCTTCTTTGTTCCTTCAGGTCACGGCTAGGGTCCCCTCCTAAGAGAGACCCCCAATCCTGCTCACTCGTCACTACACCCTGACTATGCCATCTGTTGTGACTTGAATGGTGGCCCCCAAAAGATAGGTTGGAGTCCTGACCGCTGGTACCCTGTGACTGTGATCTTAGTTGGAAATAGGGTCTTTGCCAATGTAACTAGGATGTAGGTTTAGATGGGGTCAGACTGGAGTAGGGCAGGCCCTAAAGTCAATGACTGATGACCTACTAAGAGAAGGAGAGACAGAGACAAGCCCACGGGACCACAGAGGCAGACAATGGAGGGACATGGGCACAAGCCACAGGCCACAAGCCGAGGAGCACGTGGAGCCCCCGGAGCTGGAAGAAGTGAGGAAGGATCCTCCCCTAGAGCCTGCGGAGGGGGCAGGGCCCTGCGGACACCTTGACTTCAGACTTCTGGCCTCCAGAACTGGGAGACAATACACTTCCACTGTTTGCAGCAACCCCCCACCCCCACCACGGTGTGTGGTTCTCTGTCACAGCAACCCCAGGACACTGATCCATCACCAGCTGCCTTTCTACGAGCACAGCACTTGCTGCCTCTAGATACTTCCTCACTGAGTTTTGGTTTCTGGTCACGGCCCCCCTTCCTGGGACACTAGGAAGGCAGGGCTCAGCCTGTGCTGATCCTCACTGCGTCCTAAGGCTCTGGCAGGTGGCGGGCAAGGGAGGGGCTGACTGAATAAAGAAGGTACAGACCACAGCTCGGGGCCTGGCGCCTAGATGGAAACCAACCACAGGCTCTGTCAGGCTGGCATCATCGCATTCAGCCTCCACGGGTAGGCAGGCCCAGCGGCCAGCGCCATCCAGCCCCACCCACACCAGGGGAGGGGGTCACGTCCAAATCAAGGGGTTGGGCTGAAGGAGCTCTTACAGGCCTGCGCGCAGGTACCTTCACACGAATGCATTCCGGCCTGAACCGTCCCTTCCTCCAGAGGCAATGGCCGGCCCAGGAGAAGGAAGTGAAAGTCACGCCTCAGCAGCCCAGCGTCTCCAGCGCCCCCCAGATCTCCACCCCATCTTCCAGCTTCTCGGCAGTCACCCAGAGGAATTGTGGGGTGCACAGAGGTGGCAATAAAGAGGAGACAACCCGAGGGTCCAACCACAGGGGATGGTTGGGGACACCAGCTGATGATTAAGAACCCCGGAGGCCCTAGATTGAACCCCAGCTCCTCCGCTAACCAGCTGTGTCACCTCTGACAACTCACTCCTCCTCTCAGAGCCTGTTTCCCTCTGTAAACGGGCTTAAGGATGGTCTCCACAACCCACTGATCTCCCCCACGATCTCAGAGTAGCCGGCTGAGAGACTCACCAGGATGTAATCGGCCCACATGTCCCGGGCAGATTTCAAGGCTGCCTGGCGCAACTTCATGACGTGCTCATAGCGCGAGTCAGACCAGTGTTTGGGGCCCTCCTCATCCGGGTAGGACCTGCGGAGAGACAGCTGTGATGTGCTAAGGATGGGGCCCTATGGCAACCCAGAGGGCAGTGGTCAGAGAGGGCTTCCTGGAGGAGGGGATGTAGGCAGAGAGGTAAAGAAATAAACCCTGAAAAGCTGAAAGGAACCAGGGGCCTGCACTGCCCAGGGGTGCATGGGAAGCTAAGCAGCAGGGCTGGCCCTGGGGCATAGAGTGAGACTGGGAAGAAAGCAATAGGCGTCCACCAGGAGGACAAGGGAGTGAGGGAACTCTAGGTGCAGGGAACTGTGGGGAAAAAGGTCCAGCTGGAGGACTGCGGCCCACTGAAGCTAAGAGCGGGTCAGAGTAGCCACGGGCAGCCCTTAAGGCTGCAGAGTTGGGCTGGAGAGTCAGGGGCAGAGGGGCTGGGGTTGTCACAGGACAACAGGGAGTCATGGAAGGTGTGTGAATAGGGATACAGCCCAGTTGCCTGGGGTGGGGGGCGGTGTCAGGGCAGAACCTGAAGCTCACCTGGGCTCTTCTGCTGGCCGCCACTCCACGGAGTGGTACAAACTCTTTACAGCCACCAGCCATTCCCGCAGCACAGCCGATGTGTTGTCTGAGTTGTGGTCTGTGGCTACCCTGCAAAGCAGAGCAAGGCAGTCAGTGCGAGACGGGAGACTGAGGCAGCACCAGGCAGCCTGAAGCAACAGGGTCTCCATACCCCCAAGCTGGCCTTCCAGC